CTGGCCTCGCGGTCACTCTCGCCCATGCCACGTCTGCCACGGCTCTTGGCGACTCCGGTCTCCATGGCGATGGTCCTTTCAAACGCTGGTGTCTCAGTTCTTGGGCTTCCTCGCCGTAGTGAGCTGTCCTTCATCCCCCGTGGCAGCCCACTGTCCCGGGTGTACCCCAGTTCTTGTTACAACCACGAGCACCCCCCCACGCCTTCCATTCAGGCTCCCACGCTCCACTCCCCCCTCGGGGTTTAGACCTCTGCACCCCAAGTTCAGTCATTCCATTTCATCGGGACCCACGACCCACTGATTCCAGCCCCGCTTCCGTCTCCTGCGGCGCTGTCTTCACTCTGCTCCTTACCAGGCCCCAAGTCCACGACCAAGGGCTGCCCTCACTCCCCCGCCGACATTCTGGCCTCCTGTGCTCATTTCCCGTCTTTGTTCGGACAACCGGGTTCTTGCCGGTCCGCGTCAGCACCACCGCCCTCTGGCCCCGTGGTCTCAGCGGGGCCCGGGCAGCACCGGGAGCTGCCATTGTTCCCGCCAGCTGCTGCGCCGCCCCACCGAGCGCCCCTGGGTCTCGGAGCTGGTTCAGGGGGACGGCAGGATGTTTTCACGTTCGTGGGGGAGACAAGGAGAGAGGGGCGGGGGCAGGAGACGAAAGGACTCCTGGGATGGGGGGGAGGCTGCCCGGGCTGATAGCCCGTGTTGCTGTTCCCGAGGGGCCGGACTAAGGCCCGCGGAGTGTGGGCTGCGGCCATCACTGTTTATTTGGGGGTTCTGTCTCTCTCTCTCTCTCTCAAAGAAGTTCCCACGTGAAGCCCAGGCCGGAAGCAGTGAGTCCTGACTGGGCTTCCGCCGTCACTTAACCAGCGGCCTGAGGCCTGCACCAGGCCCTTCCACCTCCGACCACGGTTTCTTCGCCTACACGCTGGGGCTGCTGCGGCCCGGCGGCTGGTGGCCGGGCTGCGAGGACTAAATGGACGGCGTCTGCACGGCTTCATCAAGCTCGGCACTGCGGATCCCGAGCCCCCGGGGGGGGGGGACCTGGACCTCCAGCGCGTGGGTGCAGACCACAGGCTGCTCGGACGGGAGGCCCCGTGGGCTGTGACTCACCGGGGCTGCCTCATCTGGGAAGTTACTCCCTTCGGGTTTGATCAGGTTCTTCGAAGCCTCTTCCTGGCCGCGGGACGGGAGGAGGCCTGGGGTCCAGCTCCGGAGCCCCCGCTCGGAGGCAGCGGCGAGTGGCCTGGGCCCTTTCTGCAGGGGAATGAAATAATCGCCATCAGCACAGCGAGATCATCTCCTCCCGGTGGCACCAAGGAATTCTCAGAAGCATCTCCGTCCCCACTGCCTGGGGGGCGGGGGAGGGAGGGACAGGGGCCGCCACTGGAGCCCAGGTGTCTCTCTGCAGGAAATCACTTTGGCCTCCGAGAGGCAGACGCCACTTCCTGCCGCCCGCGCCTCCTGAGCTCTGGCTTCCAACACCTGGAGGTCCCATGCATCCTGCCGGCTCCCAGCCGGAGAGTCCTGGGGGGCTCCCCGACCTGGCAGGAGGGCGGGGGGAACAGGTGTCTGTCAAGGCCACTGGCAATGGAGGGCGTGACCTTCAGGTGCAAGCAGACAGGCCTGTCTCTCTTCATCCAGGGGAGACAACTGAGGTCGGGACAGGCTCGCTGAGCCTAGCGCCCCTGTTAAGACTTCTGACTGTGGAACCTGCGTGTTGCCCTGACGAGGTGGCCGCGCCTCGTGGTGGTTTGTTGGGTGTCCGGCCTGCGGCCGCGTGCAGACCAGGAGGGCTGTGAACTCGGGCCAACACAAAATCGTCAGTTCACTGAAAGCACCATCAGATGTTTTTGTGGTGACTGTCGCAATGTGTTTAATGTGTGGCCCAGAGACGCCATAAGGCTGGACTCCACTGGTGGAGGGAAGGCGGGGCTCTGGTGCCCTGTGCCCCTCTCCTAGCCGCCCCCCCCCCCCCGCCTGCGCCTGGCTCCTCTCACCACAGCCCCGCGTCCTTGCTCCCCTGGGGCTCCCGCTCCGTGCCCTGTGACTTGACCCCCCTGGACCCGCTGGGTCTCCCCAATTCTGCACCTGTTGCTACGATTCTTAATCAGCGCTAATCAACTCAATCTTGTTTTCAAAAGGGTTGAGGTGGGTTCCAAAAACACATAAAAGACAAACACTGAACATAGCGGCCCCGCTCCACTTCCTGTGGTCTGTCACCCACGGCCACTGACGTCCAGAAATAATAAAGGGGCGGTCTGGACAAGTGGGGAGGTCTGGTGTGGCGAGTGGCAGGTGAAATCTCGCGAGTCCTACATCTGCCCCAGACGAGACTCCTCCCCCATCCGGCTCCAGCTGCGGACGCCCCGCCCTGCGGTCACCGGAGTGCCTCTGGCACCAGCTAGACAGTGGCCACGCTGCATGGCTCGGGCTCCAGTCACCGGAGCCTCACGTCACAGGGGCTGCAAAGTCCCGGAGCAGTGATGCTGGTGGTCCCCATGAGCCCAGGAGAGGCCTGACGTCAACAGGCCTACGTCACTCGCCCCCTTCATGACGTCACCGGGGCCTTGCGTCATCTCGGAGCGTCGCCAGGAGGCGGTGAGTGCAGCAGTCACGTGTTAGAGAGGCCCTGCCCCCTCACGTTTGTCCCAGTCGGTGGTTACAGTTCTGTTTTATTACTAGGTGTCGCTGGTCTCTCACAGCGCCTCATGGACCAATTAAACCTTATCACAAGTGTTTGAGTGGGAACCAATGAGTATGCGTGGGGTTCGGTACTTCCCGCGGCTTCAGGCATCCGCGGGGGTCTTGGCTTGTATACCCACCCCGTGGATAAGGGGTGGGGGGTCAACGGACGGCACTTGCCCTGCCCTGCCCTGCCCTGCCCTGGAAGGGTCAGCTGCTCCTTGGGAAAACAGCCGATTCCAAGGCTGGAGTAGAGAACGTGCCAAAAGGAGCCTGGATGCCAGGAAGGGAGGAACTGTATCCAGAATTGTAGGGACCCGCCAAAGGTCAACAGAGCCACCTAGAAGGGGGCTCCCTCGGCCAAGTCTGACACGATATAAGCGTCCAGATAAATAATGACAACCATGGATTATCACCCAGGGCGGACGACAGAGACGGGTGAGTCCGTAGAGGTTTAATAAATTCATGCATAAATTAACAGCTGGGTGTGGTCCTTCCTGACCGGCGGGAAAAGTCTCTTTGTTAACATGAGTTGAGAATGAATAAAAAATGAAAGCAGATTTTACCGTGATAATTTAAAATAAACTTGTATTTTAACTCCTTCAAAAAAAAAGAGAAAGAAATGGAATGTTTAGCCTCTAAGAACCTCTCGACAAAAGGACCATATTTTGCTGTGTATAATGTGCACCCACGTTTTTGTGCTCATTATACACAAGATTATTATACCCATTATTATACTTATGGTATGTAATCATTATATCCACGTATAATGCACATCCTTATTTTATCCGTGAAAATTTGGGCAAAAAGGTGCACATTATACACGGCAAAATATGCTACTTATGAACGGCAGCGGGAAAACAAGCGATTTCAGAGTAACGGAGAGGCCTGGTAGAGACCGCCGGACCCAGGAATGCACGCGCACGTCACCGGTCATAGGAAAATGCAAACCCCCCAACCCCGCGCTGGGACGCAGTGTGGCGTTCTTGACAGAGACGCACGAGCTCCACCAGGGGGCGCCACCAAGCCCAGCTTGAGGGACGATCTCCAGGGCTCGGGGCCCAGAAACGCCAGTGGCGTGGGAACCCGGGGAAGACTGGGAACTGCTCCAACTGCGGGAGACTAAATCCGTATGGCAGCTCCCTGCAAGGAGCACTTCTGAGCTGGGTTCTTCCGCGCTGATGGACGTTCCTGGGAAAACCGGGGAAACGGAGGGGGTCCGAGGACGTCGGGCCGACTTCCCGCCGCGGGGGGCTGTAGCGTGTCGTGCAGGAGAAGAGCCGTGTCACAAGGAGGAAAATGCGCCACACGGGACGCGCTCACGGTGGCGGGGCGCTCATTGTGTTGACGGTTCGTTCCCGGATGGTTCGGGTTCCGGTTGTGTCGTACGTGTGTGTGTGTGTTTCGTGAGTTGGGGGGTGTTCTCAGAAAAGCAGAAGGAAAAACATCTGGTGGAGGGGAACCGTGGGACCCACTGCCTTCCTGCACGTGCGTGGCACGGCCAGGCCGCGTCTGCAGGCTGGCCCCGCCCCCTGCGAGCACAAGCAGGCAGTCCCCGCCCCCTGCGGGCCCTGCCGTCTGCGGAACCAACCCCTCCCCCACCCCATCCTGGAACCGGAAGGACGTTGAATGGCGCTCGTTCTCGGGGGGCCCCCAACGTCGGGGGTGCGTGTTTCCGAAACCCCTTTCTCAGCATGTGGACCCGGCCGCCCACGGATGAGCTGGCGGGCTTTTAGAGGGTGGGCGGAGCCTGCCCGCCCCTTTAAGGGGAGCAGGAGACCCAGGCCCTGGGGGCTCACAGGTGGTTACAGGAGACGGCAGATGTACCTGTGACCCTCATCTGACTTCCTGCCCGCCGTCCCCCTGGCTTCCCCACTTGGCGCTGCAGGAGCCGATCCCCGCAGAGGGCACAGCCGGACTCCCGCCAGCCGGCTTCTCCCTGGGGTCTGCCCGTGGGAGAGCGGAGGAGAAGGTGGGGTGACAGTCCCCCCCCAACCCACTCCTGCTGTTTGGAGGGGGCATCTCTCCCCAGCACGCCTCCACTGCTCTAGCTCCCATTGGTTCTGGGGGGAGCCGCCCCCTGCCCCGCCTTGTCCTGGGGAGAGAATGGCTTCCCCAACAAGGAGCAAGCTTCCCCAAGCGGGAGCCCAAAACCTCCTCTCTCCGTGACAGCCTCCCTACAAAAGCCAGTGTATGGCCCCGCGCCCCCGCCCCCATCCCCTGGCCTCGGCGAGGAAGCAGCAGCGCCCTCGGGAGGCAGACGCAGGAGGAGGAGTCTCCGCCCAGTGGCAACCAGACCCTCCTCGTAAAAAAAGAAAGAATTTCCACTGACCACTTTATTTTTATTATTGACAGCACTTTGAATGAAGCGAAGAGTTGAACAAATATGTAAAAGATATTTTTTATCACACATGGACAGTAGGCTTTAAAGATCCCTTTTCTGATCATTCAGGAAAGACACTGTTTCTTTAACAGCTAACAGCATTTGCACGAGACTGGCTACGGCCCGAGGCCTAGGCCTGCGCTCCTAGGGGGAGGAAACAGCCCACTGAGGGGGAGGGGCTGTCGGAGGGGCAGCACGACCCCCAGCCAGCAAGGCAGAGCCAGGAGCTTGCCAGGAGCGGGTGGGTGGGGCAGGGTTAGGGGTCGGGAACAGGGTGGGCACGGCGGTTACTGGGGCCTCAAGAGCATCACTGTGACATTCTCTGCCTTGTGACATTTAAATCAAGTCACTGTAATTCACCAAAGGGGCGGGTGCGTTTGGGTGGGAGTCCCCTTGGTGCCCACGGCTGCGGCAGGGAGACCGGCGAGAGGCAGGCCCCGCCCGTCGAAGCAGGGGTGAGGCTGGGCCGGCCCCGGGGAGCTGAGCTTCTAACACGGAGAGACGGGCTGGGTAACCGTGCGCTGTGGCCAGTGATGGGGGCGGGACACCCGGGCGGAGCCAGAGGACTCACCGGGGATCGAGACGGGCTTGGAGGGACGGTTGGGGTGTGACAGGCAGTGATAGACGCCCCGTGGGCAGCCACGCGGGAGGGCGCGGCGGGGCCGGTGGTGGCCCTCGCCCGCAGTGCCCGACCATGAGGGGAGTCCAGTGTGGGGGGGGCGGGGGAGAGGCTGGAAAGCGAGCTCGAGGTCAGGTGGGCCCGGGGCAAGGAGTTGGCACCTGAGTTGGATGATGACAGGGAACCCTTTCTGTGCTCATTCATTCATTCACTCACTCATTCATTCAACAAAACCCTCCGCCAGGCACTGCCCCTGCGCTGGGCACAGCGCGGTCCCCGTAGGCCCAGCCGTGGGGAGGGCTCCCTTGGCAGGTGACAGCCGCTCAGCCAGGCCCAGCTGGGCCCCCACTGATGACCCAGGGGACAGAAGTACCGTCAGTACCCGGGGGGAGGCTCAGGAAAGTGGGCTGGAGTGGGGGCGGGGGGGCGGGGGGGCGGGGGAGGGACCCCTGACTGGCGGCAGGCCCTGGTCTCTCTCGGCCAGCGTGATCAGGAGTGACGGCGGCTCCCCGGGCCTCCACGCTCAGAGTCCTCGTCCTCCGGCCGCCCTTGCGACAGGTCCCTCAGCTGCTCCTGGGGCTCCCGGTAGATGGACCGACTCCTGCGGCCGTGAGGACAGAGGGACAGTTTGCCCCAGAGAGCTGGGCCCAGCCCCCCTCCTGGCCCACCACCCACACCCTCCCGGCTGCAGAGGGACCCTGGGCTGGAGGGTGGGGCTCCGGGGGGCCAGGCAGCGGCCCAGACCTGTTCCACTCGTGAGTCGAGGGAGTCAGGGGACAGGCAGGAGGGACCCGCCGGTGACAGAGGCCGGTGACAGAGGCCGCAGCCCGCCATCCCGGCACCCACAGGAGCCCCGCCCTGAGATCCACGGGCCGTGGGCCGCGTCGGGGCCTCCCACGCCACTTCAGGGCAGGCTGGTAAGAGGGCCGGCCCGACGCATCTCCCCAACCTGCCCAGCCCCGCGCCCCCAGGCTGCCCCCACTCACGGCCTGGCCTCTTCCTCGCCCTTCGACCGGCAGCAGCAGCAGTAGATCAGGACTCCGAGGAGGATGAGGGCCACCAACACGCCACCAGCAATGCCCGCGTACAGGGCCACGTTCATGGAGGCTGCGGCGGCGGAGAGAGCGGCTGCACCCCTGACTCTGCCGAGCCCAGGCTCCGGGCTGACCAGGCCAGGGGGGTCCCCCACAGCCTCGGCGCCCCGGGTGGCCCCTCCTAGCCCCCAGGGACCCCAGTCCTCCCCGAGCCCAGGGAGCCAGCCCCTGGCTCGGAAAGGCGTGGCCTTGTGGGAACGTGACCGGCCAGGCCTGGGGCTGCTCCTTAGGGTAGAGACACAGACAAGGGCAGGTGGCCCGGCCTCCGTGTCCCTGTGCCCCGGGTTCCCCAGGCCCCGGGGAAGTCCTCAGCCGTCAGCCAGGCGGCCCCTGCTCCAGCTTGTCCCTGAGCTGGTGAGCATCCCACCCCGCAGGATGGGGCCCGGACTGTGCCAGCCGGCTCTGGGCGCGCCCCACCTGCTGATGGGGCCGGTCTGCGCGGCCAGAGCCCAGGCAAGGGGAGCCGCGGGGCCGGCAGGGGCCGGCAGGAGGCTGCGATCCCTCCCCTCCCTACCCCCGCCCCCGCCCTCGACCCCCGGCTGCTCTTACGAGGCCTGACGGTCACCGTGATGTTGCAGGACTCCGTCCCCACCTCGTTGCTGGAGGTGCAGACGTAGAAGCCCGAGGTGTCTGTGGAGATGTTCTTCAGGGTCAAGGTCTGCCCCAGGCCTGGGAAGGAGGACCACCGGGTGAGGAGACGGCGGTGCAGCAGAGCGCGGTGGGGCCTGCAGCTCGCTGGTCGGCCCGGCTGCGGCCCCACCCGCAGTGAGAAGACCCGTCTCCAGGCTGCAGGGCGGGAAACGGGAGGGAGGTACCCCTCCCAGGGGCGTGCAGGGCGGCCGGACATCCCGGGTTTGAAGCCCAGGTCTGCAGCTTGTGCACCGTGGGACAGTGGCCAAGCCCCTCAGGGCCACTGAGCCCTGTTTCCTTAGCTACGACGGCGGTGGCGGCAGCGCCTGGGTCCCAGGTGCTCCCACCGGGGGCGTCTGATGAGCCACCCGTCGCCATCGGCCCAGAACAGAAGGCCGGCCACGCGGCACACACACAGGAGGCGCGATATGCAGAGCGTGTCACACAGAAGGGCCTTCGGTGAGAAGGTGTCACCGTGACCCCCTCACCTTCTTCGGAAACCGAACCTTTGCTGGGGCTCACGCGGGGAAGACCCTGGAAATCTCCATCTCTGATCTCCCGGGGTTCCTGCCATGCGTACTGTGTGTGTGTGCACGTGTGTGAGAGAGTGTGTGTGTGTGTGACTGTGTGTGTGTATGTAGGTGTGTGTGTGGTTGTGTGTGAGTATGTGAGAGTATGTGTGTGAGAGTATGTGGGTGTATGTGTGAGTGTGTGTGACTGTGTGTGTGAGTTGTGTGTGTGAGTGTGGGTAAGAGAATCAGCATGTATGTGTGTGAGTGTGTGCAGGAGTGTGTGTGAGTGTATATATGTAGGTGTGTTGAGTGTGTGTAGGTGTGTGAGAGTGTAAGAGAGAGCATGTATGTATGAGTGTGCATGTATATGTAGGTATGTGAGTGTGTGTGAGAGCATGTATGTATGAGTGTGAGTGTGTGAGTGTGTGTGAGAGAGAGCATGTATGTATGAGTGTGCGTGTGTGTGTAGGTGTGTGAGAGTGTGTGTATACAGGTTTACAGGCAGAGCTCTCGGAGGAGCTTCTACCATGCTAATGAGCGCCGGGCAGTTAGGGGGTAACAGTCTCCTTTTCCTAAACTAATGGAACTTTCTAAAGAGGCAGCTTGAAGGCACCCACGTTGGGAAATGCTGCCTGACCCTGACATCGGGGATGAATAGCCTTCACCAGACCCCCACTATTTCACCGGTGAAACGCAGCCCACCCTTGGGCACACCTCGCGTGGAGGGGAAGGCTTGTTCAGGGTCGAGAGGGGGGCTTCCCTCTCCAGGGTCTGCACCCCCGTCCCTCACGCAAACAGTGGGCGTTGGGACCTGCCCTGGGGTGAGGCGGTGCCACCGGCGCCCCGAGACCTGCTTCGATTCAGGGTTGGGGCTCCCAACCCCTTCTCTAGGGAAGGTCCTAAGTGCGAAAATCAGGCTGAAACTGATGTTTCTGCTGCCGTGGTGACCCCTGGTGGTCGGGAAGGGTGGAGTGCCCCGCTCGCCCTGTTCGACGGACGCCCTCATAGGTGCTCATGGGGCACCCATGCCCAGCCCCCCTGGCCCTTTGCACTGCTTGCCTCCTGCCACCCTGAGCCGGAGGACCGCCCACAGCTCAGCTGACGGGCACCTCTCAGGCCTTGTCCTGGGAGCTCGGGGTGTGGCTGGCTGGAGGACCGCCCACCTGGACCTCCAGTGAGGGGTTCCCACACCGCGGGCGGGCTCCACAGTAACGACAGGAGGGTATTTATGTAGTTTGGGGGTTGGTTTCGGTTTTGTTTCTCCTTGTTTTTCTAGTATGTTTCCTGACCAGAGGCCAACTACCAGGCTGCCCAGGACGAAACCAGTCCCCTGGCAGCTGTAAGCAAACCTTCCTCCTCGGCCCCTGAGCCCCTGGGAATGTGGGGCCCCCCCAGCAGCCCTGGTCTGGTGGTGCGGGGCCGGAGGAGGGGGCGCGTTTGGGGAGGCGGGGTCCGGGGGAGTCCGAGGTGGACCGGCCTGGGGGGTGCATGCGGGGGAACGGGAAATCGCCACCCTCGAGTGGGCGCAGTTGGGGACGCAACCGAGGTCCACGCTGAGACCGCAGCCGGAGTGGCCGCTGGTGACGCCCAGTCCAGAGGCTGCGTCCTGGGGCCGTAGGGCGGCCAGGACACCCGTCCTGTGCGTGTCCTTTGCTCAGAGCTTCCCACGGAATCACCGTCCTCGCTCACAGCCACCCGCGAGCGGGGCCGGTGTGGTTACGAGAAAACGGTGCTTAGGGGGGTGACCCGCGAGAGGTTGCTGTGCCAGCTGCAGGGAGGGGGCGGGGGCGGCCTTCAGGGTCCCGACGGGTCAGCTGGGGCCCGCCCCTCACCCCACCGGCACCCGGCTGCGGTTGGTTACCTGGCAGGCCCACCCGCTCCTGGTTCTGGAGGTTGAAGCTCTTCCAGCTGTACTGCGGGGCCGGGGAGCCCTCCTTCGACTGGCAGGTCAGCTGGATGTCGCTCCCGATCACCGTCTCTCCCTGGATGCCGCACTCTGGCTTGGAGGGTGGCACTGCGTAGGGAGAGGCCGAGGAGAAGGCACAAGTCAGGGGGACCTTGGTGGCAGCCAGCCCCCCCCCCCCCCCGCGGACACACACGGCTGCCTGGTTGGCCCACAGGCAGAGACAGGCACTGCCTAGACGTGAGGCGTGACACTCCAAGGTCCGTCCACCCGGAAACACCGGCCCAGCGGCCTGTCCCTGTCACGGGGCAGCGTCCCCACAGCCAGTATAGAGTCATCGCCTCGTAAAGATGGGGGTACAGGGCGGGGCTCCGGGCCTGCTGGCTCCAGCCCTGGGGCTCCCCCACCAGCCACAGGCTCAGTGACGCAGCTGGGCCATTTCGGGTCCCGTTTCCTGAAGGGACCGCAGACGCTCTGGGAAGGGCCACATGGTGCACTCAGTCACTGCTTCTTTTAAAGGACCCTTAGCAACATAGAAACCACCTCAGCTCCCAGACCACACAGGGCGGGCTGCCTACCCCCGGGGCCAGGGCAGGCCCCTCACCGTGTTCGCTTTGGGGTAAGCACCGCCCCCTTTTCATGCTTCCCCGGTAAAATGCCCTCGTCCTGAGGGGTGGGGGGATGGGAGAGACCCCGGGGGCAGCAGAAGGGCTGGGCGGGGACAGAGGGACAGAGACGGGGACAGGGAAGCCCACAGCGAGGAGGACACAAGAGCGCGTGCCTGACCCGGCCTCCCAGAATCCCCGCAGACCTCCAGTGGGGCCCCCGCCCGGCACCGCACCCGCACGGCCGTGTGGCGTGGTTCATTCTGCAAACCGCATGGGCCCCTCCTGTGCGTGGGGCCCCGCTGGGGATGGGGGTGGCACCGTGAGGGCGTCCCTGTGTTCAGGGGGTCCCGTGGAGGCACCGTGTGGGTGCTTGGACGATGGCAGGCAGGAGGCAAGGCTCGGGGGCAGGGCAGGCACAGTGGAGGGACACGGACGTGGCCCCGGCACGGGCCGTGACCAGGGAGGGAAGGGACAGCACACAGGAGGCTGCAGCGGAGGATGGGGGGAGGGGCGTCCGTCCCCCCGGGCAGAGGGGCGGGTGTGCCCAGGCTCTGGGGAGCATCGGGTGTGCCTAAGACTTCTGGGAGTGTGTGCATGTGGGGGGTGAGCAGGAGGTCACACAGGGGTCAGGGCTGTGCCGGAGGCCGGCTCCTCCACCTCTTTCTGTGCGTGCATGCCCTGCAGGGTGCGGCCCGTTCCCCAGTCAGACTGCGGTGCAGTTCTGGGACGCTGTTCAGAGCAGCCCTCACACCCGCTCCAGGGCCCCCGGAGATCTCGGTCTCCGCTGGGACAGGAGGTAGGTGCCACCTGGATACTTATTGCAGGCAGAGTGATGGGCAAGAGAACAGGATGGGCTCCAGGCCCTGCAAGGCCTGCAACCCCTGCTATGGACACGAGGGGGCGCCAAAGGCCGTGAGGCTGCCGAGCCCGCAGGTGCCATAGGTGTCCCAGGGCCACATGGTTTCCCCGTGGTGACTTGGGACTCCGTGTCCCGCTTCAGTCAGGAGGTCACCCAGCCTGAGCGTGCGGCCACACATAATGAAAGTCCCTTCTGCTTGAAAAGCAAGACAGCCATTTGGAAAGAAAACTTTTTTAAAAGAGAATTTGCTGGATTTCTTAACACACAGTACAAAATTATCTCTCTTTTTTTTTTAGAGCAAAGCGTGGCTTGCGCTGTGTGCCATAACCTCAGATGCAGCGAGGCCCCTCGCCCCTCAAGTTAACTGAAATGCAGCAGCCCTGGGGGGCCGCGGGGGGAGGTGGGGGCGGGGAGGGGGAGAACTGGACAGTCACACCTAGGCGGGGTCCGCTGCCCTCCCCAGCCAGCTCACTGCTGCAGAGGGGAGCGGTTTAAGGGGGAGCCAGAAGGGGGCGGAATCAGGCAGAGGAAGACCAGGCGGGAAGTGAGGCATTCAGCTGGGGGAGCCCGGGCAATGGGAGAATGGCGGCGGGGGGAGCGGTGCCTGCAGGAGAGAAACTGGGTAAAAACGCTCATTGTCCTGGCTCGGTGATCCCTCCCCAAGGAGCTAGTGCCGATGGAAGAAAGTGCTGCGCACCCCCAGCGAGGCGTCGCCACGCCATCGCGGGGAGCTGTGTGGTGGGAGGCAGCCTGGGCGGGCCGTGTGTGCGGGGCGCTCACGGAGCACTGAGACCGCGGGAGGAGTGGGGTGATGCGGACGGGAAAGAACAGAACCGGCCCGTTGGCTGCAAACCCGGGGAGGGCTGGGAGGAAGCATGCACCCTAGCCCAACAGGTGAACGTTGTTCAGTTTCTTATGCGTAAAAAAAGTATTTTTTTATGTGTGCCTTCTCCTCGCCGAGGAGAGGAGAAGTGTTGCTCCTTTGGGGGGGCATCGGTCACAGGGCAGCAGGTGCCCACCGAGGTGTCCCCAGCGACTCTGATGGTGAGGGCCGGGCCTCCTTTCCTGGGGCCTTGGGGACACAATGAAGACACTCGTATGCATGGCGGTTCAGGTTCCTTCAAAGCCACACGCTCCGACAGGAAGTTATTTGCATGAAAAGAACGGTGCCTTGGAGCGTGTTCCAAAGGCGGTAGGACCTGACCGAGGGTGTGGTGTCGGGGTCCCGGGTGGGAGGCGGCATGCGGGGCGTCTGCCGACCGGGAAGGCCTGTCAGGGAGTCCCGGTTCGCCCTTGGCATTGACGGGAGGCCCAGGGGGCGTCCTTGCAGAAGGACGGGGGCTGCTCTTCTCTCTGGGTTAGCGAGTTTGGCGTGAGAGGGGGGACAGGAACCCAGGACGGGCTCTGGATGGAGCGTGGACAGGCCTCCCAGGCTGGCCCGGAGGCCGCGCCCAGTGGGCCTCTTCCTCTGCCCCCTGGCAGCTCCCACGTGACTCAGCGCACCCTTTGGTCTGCAGCAGAGGCGCAGTGCCCCCGCCCTGAGCCGGACGGGCAGACGGACGGATGGACAGGTGACGGGACAGTCTGAGCTCCTGGCCAGGCATTGCTGCCTCGGGCTCCCCCAGGCCACCTGTTCTCCCCGCCCCCGCTCCCTGCCACCCCCGCGGGCCCTGGGGGCCACTCACCGAGGACCAGGAGGCGGACGCGCCCCTTGGAGGTGCCGTCCAGGTCCTTCAGCAGCGACACCGAGCACTCGTAGGTGCCGTTGTCGTCCATGGTGAGCTGGTGGATGGTGATGGAGGCGTCGGACTGCTGGGCATTGCTCGAGAAGTTGACCCGGTTCTGGTACTGGTCGCCGTAGCTGAGACTGTGGTCCAGAATGGTCAGCACGGCCACCTTTTCCTGGGGGGAAGGAGAGACACCACTTGGTCTGCACCCTCAGGGTCTGGCACGGTGCTTCCTCCAGTCGGCCCTGACAGCTCTCAGCCACCCCACCACGCCTGGCCCGGCCCGGACGGACGCGCTGCCGCCGGCCCCAGAGCAAACAGCGCCCGCGGGGGGCACCATCGTGTAACGACCCCTACGTTTGGTGGCTGGGTGGGAGGACTGGGGCGGGCGGGCCGACCTCCGGGCCGGCAGCTGCAGGTGCAGGCGGACGGGTTCCCTGGGTCCCAGCACGGCTGCCTCTGTGGCCTCCCGCATCTCCCGCTGGCCCCGTTTCGGCCCATTGTCTGTTCTCCCTCGCTCAGGCTGCCGGTGCTTACTGAGCACCTACTGTGCGCCAGGCTTGGAGCCAGGCGGCCGCCCTCCGCTTCCACCCCGCTCGGTCTCCTTGAGTCTTGCCCCTGGAGCTTATTTATCCGTCCACACACTCATCGCTTGGGTCAGCTCTGCCTCCGTGCAAACCCCGGCTCCGCCGCCCCCCCCCCGTGCTCCTTCCTTCCTGGGGCGCCCCGCTTGCTGAGGGCCCTTACCGTGTGGCTCCGCAGCAGCTTGTCCCACTGAATCAGCCCTTGCCGGTCAGAGGTGGAGGTGCGGTAGGTGCAGGGCAGCGTGGCGCTCTTTCCTCGGCCAGCCCGGAGAACTTCCTGCGGGGTTTCCACGGAGATGGCCGCCACCGTCACCCAGACTGCGGGGGAAGGGGGAGGAGAAGTGAGGGGCGTGGGCACACACCTCCGCCGGAATGCCTGGGGACATCTGAGCTCCTGCAGATGCAGCCGACCCTCTGCACCTGCGGTCCCAGCCGCACCGCCCCTCCCTGCTGTGCTCGCGCGGGGCTGGGGGAGGACCGGCACAGGACCAGCCCCCCCTCACCCCACACTCCTTGCAGCACCAGACGGGCCTGGCTCCAGCCCCAGCCCACCCCCTCCCCCCATCCTTCCCCGCCCCTGCGCTCCTGACCCAGAACAGTCCCTCAGATGCTTTCCTTCCCGTATCCCTGCACGTCCACAATAACACACAGCGTCTCCGTGGCCATTTGAGGAAGCAGCATTGCGTGGCATTCAAACACGTTTAGATAGGGTTTCCTTCTTTACTAAACTCGGGACCCCGAGGTGCGCCCACCCAGGCCCTCCTGGGCCTGCGCTCTGGCCTGAAGAGTGGGCTGCGGGAAGGGTGCGGGCAGTGGGGCGTGCACTGGGCGCAGCGCGGTGGCTGGCCCGTCGTCAGGGCCCAGTACCTTGGCTACGCTGGGTGTGCGCTTGCATCCTCGGGACCCGCCTCCACCCTCCTGGGCGGTGGCTCCGCAGGCCCCGCCCCCTTGGCTAGAGGCGAATCCCAACGGTGACCCACCAGCCCCCCTGAGGGCTCTCAGGAAGGGGTACTGTTCGCCAAGGGCTGTAACCAGAGAACTGGTCGGTTCTAGAGCTCCTAGGACAGCGTGCGACAATCGCTCCCTGTTCGTGGGTTTGCGAGGGAACAGATGCAAAGGGGTGGCTGGGAAAGAACTCAGGAAGGAAAGGAACAGCCCCCCCCGCCCCGGCATGTGTGGTGCTCCCGATGAGCTACTGGTAAGCCCGAGAAGGCTCCTTGAAGGCGGGTCCGGCCCCCCGAGGCACCCTGACAGGTTCCATAATCCTGGATGAGAGTTGATACTTTGTGCAAGAACTTCAGGCCAACAGCCGTCCCTGGGGGTCCTCCGTGGCCAAGGCCACGCCCTCCGCATACACACGCACACGCTGACACGCGCAGTACCCCCTTGTTCCCGCTCCACTGGCGTCGCAGGCCTGGAGGCCCCGGCGTTTTGGCCACCAGCCTCCCCGCTGCGTCGGGGGTGAGTCCGGGCCGTCCCCCACCTTTTCCATCGGCTCCCCATTCCCAGCTCCACCGCCCTGGTTTCCTCTTCTGCGGGACCTTCGTCCCCCTCCCCCGAGGGTGGCACGGGAGCCCCAGTGGGACATCTGAACCACGATCACACAACTAAGAAGTGGAGGAATTCTAGAAATTTCTAGAGCCTTCCAACCACCTCCATTTCCACTTCCTTGCACAGGTCGATGTTGGGCATCTTTGTCCCGCCGCCCAGAGCCACCCTCCCGCCCCCCACCCCGCCTGTAGCTGCAGCCCTCTCATCCATTTGCCCCCCTGGAGCTGTGTCCGTCATGCTCCAGAATGTTCCTTCCTCCTCCCCTCTCCCTGGGCTCCTTCTTGAGGCTGAGCTCCTCAGTGCAGTGCTGGCCTTGGGGGGGAGGGGAGCTGGGGGTGGCCAGGGTACAAGTTGGAACAGCAGGTGCCTTTGCCCACAAGGAGGACTCAGCGCCTCCCCGCGCCGCCGCCGTTCGCAGAGGAAGATGTTTTGGGTGCAAATGTTGTCTGAGAGAAAATGCCCAAACTCTCCCAGGCAGAGCCGATGGCTGTCCTTCCTGCTGCCCGCGGCCCGTGAGTCCCTGCGCCCTGACTTCTCGCTCGTGAAGGTGGGAGGGGGGCCCGGGGCATGGCCACCGGAGGCCTCAGCGTCCTCACTGCAGAGCGAGGGTCCTCCTCTCTAGCGCAGGCCGTCGGGAGGGTCGCTGACTTAGCGCACGCGGCGTCCACGCCCGTCCGGGCCCAGGGGCCGCACCGACCTTCCATGTTACCCGGCCCTTGCCCTCGGCCGCGCGCCGATCCCTCCCCTCCGCCTTCCCGGGCTCTACCCCCTCCCCCCCCCCACACACACACACAGCACGGGCCCCGGCATGTGCTCCTTCACAGCCAACGCACGAGTCACAGAGAGTCCGGGCTCACAACGCGGGTCGGATGAGCCACCAGACACTCGGTTGCAGGCCTCAGCCCACAGATTGCTAGAAAATGCCCCCCCAAATCAGATCACGGAGACCCCAGGAGCCCCAGCAAGGGGAAGCCCCACGGTCGCTGCTGAAGGACTGAGGCTCGTTAGCGAGATGCTGAGCTGTCTCCCGAGAGCGGCGCGAGAGTGATGCACCTTGGAGGGTAATGAAATGCCTGACGATGGCCCGGCTGCTTGAGGCGCCCCGGCGCGTCCTGGGGACCCCGGGGAGCGGGCAGTGATGGCTGCACTCAGGAAGCACGTCTGCTGGGAGAAGCCACAGTCTCCGGAGGGGGGGACGGTGCCGCCGGCCAGGAGGGCCCCGCCTGCCCCCCCACCCCCACACACACACTGGACACGTGCTCTGGTGTTGGGAAAGTGCTGGTCTGGCGGGGGGGGGCACTTCACACTCGCAGGTGGGTTTATCCTGACCCCCACCCTCGCACGTGGCCTCCGGGGGGGCTCCAGCTGGCCCCTGAGGGGGGAGGGGCGAGACATCAGCACGTACTTGTGGGACTTTTTCTTCAACGTGGATCTTAGGAACCTGCCGATGCTGATCAACGCGATGACCTTTCCCGACGGCCCTGGGTGAGGGCAGGGCACCGGGAGACCGGCCCCAGGTGTGTCCACGCCCCGCCCCCTCTGGGAACCCACCAGCAGCAGCCCCGCCCCCACCGCGCCGGCTTCTCCTGTGTCTGGTTATTTAGTTTAAGTAGCGTTGGCGTGCGGTATTACGTCAGTCTCGGGCGGACAGTGTAGCGATTCGCAACTTATGTGCCTGACGGTGTGATCGCCGCCCCAAGCCCAGCCGTCCTCTGTCACCACGTAAACTCGCTGCAATATTGTCGACCGTAGACCCCTTCACCTTCTTCACCACCCCCCCGCGTGCCCCCGCCCCTCTGGCAGCCATCGCTCGGGTTGACCTCTGAGTCGGTGAGACTGTTCCTGTTCTGTTTGGGGGGTGGGTGTGTGTGGAGATTCTGCGTGGAAGTGAAATCCTGGGGTATTTGGATTTGACTTTCCCCCGATGACGCCTTTCACTGAGCGTGACGCCCTGGAGGTCCAACCCCGTGGTCACAGATGACAAAAGTCCGTTCTTTTTCGTGGCCGAGTAATATTCCACTGCGCATGTGTGCATGCCTTCTCTGTCCGTTCGTCTGTGGGTGGAAACCCGCGTGGCCACTGCAGCTCGGCTGCCGTGGAAATGCTCCTTGGACACGAGGGCGCAGAAGTCGATTCGAGTTGGTCTTTCCGTTTCCTGCCGGCTTTGTGGGGCCACTCGAGGCCGTGCCTTCCCCACACGCACGGTTCCTGGGGTGATGGGGGAGCGGGGGGGGGGCTCGGGCCTCCTCCCCTCCCCAGATGGTGCCCCTTCCCGCCCCAAGCTGCCGACGCAGAGCCGGGTGGTGACGCGGCCCTGGCGACTGAGTGGCTCCCGGCACAGTCCCCGCCCAGAAGCCCTCGGAGGTGGCTGTCCGCCAGCGTCCACCTGGAGCCTCGACGTGGGTTAAACCAAGTGTCCAGGTCAAGTGTGCGGGGAGAGGGCAGGGGCTGCGGGGGGCCAGGATGGCAAGGGACAGGCTTCCCGAGGGGGTGGGACTTGAAGTGGCCCCCGACAGATTCAGTTCACAGCACTGACCGTGGGGACCAGAGGGGCCGGATCAGGATGCAGGACCGTGCAGGCACACGGCCCCGCCCACCTCCGGGTCGTCACGGAGGGAAAGCGTATTCCAGAGGAAAACAAAACAGACCCGAACGCAGGGTGGGTGACAGTGGTCCCTGGGTCCTGGGGTCGTGGGGCGGTGTGGCGTTTCTTCCTGGAGCAGCTGTGGTTTCTGAGTGCCCCGACACGCAGGGGGGGCAGCTTGGGCCGCAGGCGGGCAGCGCGGCAGCCGGCTCCACAAGGCAGTGGCCTTCCACAGGGGCTGGGGCCGCTGGAGCGGGGACACCCCGGCATCTTGAGGAGGTCCCTCTGGTCCCCACGGGCACAGAGGCGGAGAGGCACGAGTGGGCTTGCGGGCCGGAGCTCCTGAACGGAGACACTGACAGTGGAGGAGGGGCAGGTGGAGAAAACCCCCAGCCAGAGGGGGGGAATGGGGGGGGTCAGGGCATGGCTGGAGGACGGGCCTGGCCCTCGACGGCTGCCCCCTGAGCCCGCATGTGCAGACGGGGGTGAGTCGGCGGGCAGGTGCAGGCGGCGAGCTCGGCCGGGCGCCCTGCCCTCCACGCCTCACGCCGGACTCCCGTGGACTTTGTGACGGTGCTCGGTGGGGGCGTCTCCCTGCCGCCGCGCGGCGCCGGGTGTTTATGGCTGCGCTGACTCACCGGGGCAGAAGACAGGAGAGCGGCCCAAAGGGCACTGGGTGGCCGTGGGCAGGGCGGCGCCTCGGGAAGGAGGCCGGTTCCGAGGCTGACAGCTGGGGCCCTGGGCAGGGGATCCCAGGACGGCCCCAAGCCGGGCTGGCAGAGAGGGGACAAAGCCTGAGCACTGCCAAGGTCGGGGCCACCGGCCTGCCCTGCCCTCCAAGCCCAGCCGCACCTCCGCTGGCTGTGTCTGCACGAGGCTGCAGTTCACGCCAGCGCGGGGGGCGATACCCGGGGGCTGCGAGGGCACGCTCGTCCTTTACCCTGCGGGACAACTTATTTCCCCAACTGTCCGTCTCACCCGCCGGCCCCAGGAAGGGGCCCAGGAAGGGATGTTTGGGTGGAAGCCAGTGAGGTTGGGGAGTGAGGCTGGGAGAGAAGCAGGGGCAGCCTGGGGACGGGGACGGGCAGGAGTGCCTCCCTGGTGGCCACCCAGCAGGTGGCCCGCGGGCCAGGGCCGGTGCGAGAGGCGGGGACCCGGCCGGCGGGGACGGGCACAGTTCTGT